GGCGTAGGAACATGATACCTCATGCCCAAAGTCATTAATTATATACTGCACTGTACTCAGTAATCAGAGCTGTCCTTTATGAGCTCCTTGCATGAAACACATAAAGTGAAAGCAACTCGACGGTCCTCCGTCTATCCGCATGTTTCATACGCGAACCTACAACTAATTAATTTTAGTGAAGTTCGTAATGGTTAATTTATTAGCACGTCGGTGCAATATAATCCACACTTCAAATGGCATTAAAATAGAACTTTACAGTTTATTTTTACAGGTCTACTTCACGTAACATCAAATCAAACGTTTCCAAATTTCTTATAATTCCAATTTCGTATAACAATCAAATAAAACTTTATTTTAATACATAATATAAAAATGTATAGTGCCATTGCCTCACAAAAACTACGAGACTTAAGTAGTACCATTGAGGAAAGACGCCAGAAATATGGCCCGAGAGATTTAAGGTTTTCACTGAGAAGAAAATGTGGTTTGTGGCCTTACAATTTGCAACGTTTGAAAGTTTGTGGATTGGTAAAATTAAAGGGACATACCATCTCCATCTTCAGAGACTCAGCAGAATCGCGATTGCCCGACAATCGGTTTTCGACGTTCATTCCGTTTTATCTGACGTTTTGTGTCGGAACTCTCCATTTTATCAGCATGCACTCACCAAACCACGCACCGCTAAATACTGTATTTATTTCTGACATTTTTTCATATGACACCGCATTGTATTCTCTTCGTAATTCAATAATATCGTAAACTGAGTTGCTATTTACATTTTCATTAATTTTCCGTATTATCCGACCATCCTTCGAACCTGTTTTGACAGGATATCGGGAATATACTATACTTTTATCAATAAATCAATTGTAGACACCTACAAATCTACAGTTTCAAAACCTACAGAGTTATAATCCACAGATTCTCATGTATTCTATCATCATCAGTTATGAAACAGATAATACATTATTCTACTAATTTGCCAACATTTCTAGCACACTGCCGAGGCTGGACGCAGCCATGCTGGAAAATAACTCTGTAGTTTGAGTTCTGAACCACGTTCTTTATTACAATTTTAATTCATAACGCGAAACTGGTTCTCTCCCTTTTCTGTGCATGCGATGTTTAATGTAGTAAATCAATAAGCTTAGCGTATTAACCTGTGTTATATTAAATTGCCGTTATCGAATTATATGATTATTTTAAAGTGATCTGTTGAATAAATTAATTATAATGAAAAGTTCACTAATTTTCAAATTATATTGCAATAGTACCATTTCAGATAATCAGGTCAATCACACAAAGATTTCCAACACAATACGTAAATATCATTGTCGTCAATGTTATATTTACGATACTGCAATAATTTAACTATTCTTTATCTAGATACTTGTTATTAAATATAATAGTGTTTATATTTTAGTGTTGAGATAATTCATTAGTCTTACACGGAATAAACTGTCTGTGATCAGTGAGAGTGAAAAATTTAAATTGAAGTTATTATCTAAGATATAAAAGACTGTAGCAATGAAAGCAGCCTTTGATCTAGAAAATGAGGTTTGTAGACGATTTTCATAAGTCAGAATTGAAGTGACAGCTGCGATTATACATTTAAGAACTTGCAAATTAAAATATAAAGAAACAATATAAAAATCGTATTTCAGATAGTTTATTTAAAAGCAAAATACGATATAATTGAATTACAAAGTAAAACCAGGCCGTTTAATTGAATTTAATATTAAACGCAGAAGTTGATAAAAACATCTAAGGACCTAAGCAATACCAACCAAATAACAAAATCCGTGCCACTGGCCCTCATTCCAGCGGAATTATTTAAATATATCACCATTGCCTTGATACTGCAAGTTTATATAGGGTTGCGGCAGTGAAATCTGACAGTTTTCAGAGTGCAGCTAACGATATTGAGTGTTGGGGAAAGTGTGTGTGGCTTCGTGGCCGCCAAGTCCTGCACTTTCCTCTGCCTGTGTAGTGAGAGACAGTACGACTAACTGGTCGGTGGCGGAACGCGTATTCGCGGTAACAGAATTTATTTAATGCAAATCGGCAATCCAGGTCCAGAGAAGATTTAGGCGTGCATTTAATGTTGTACGGCACGAAAGAATTATTTTGAGGTGGGTGGTCGTTTTGCTGGTAGTGCACGGAGAGTCCGCACACCAGAGAACATTGCAGCAACTCGCTCTACTAGGTGTCTATCAGCTACACCTATCGGACAGGAGTGTTCGCCGTATTCTGCACGAGGTCCTCAAATTTCATCCTTACAAAATTAAATTTGTGCAGAACGCACACAGCTCGTGAATCGATTAACTGTTTCAAGCCATGTTTTCCGGACACATCATTTCCCGATTTGGAGACGTCGCCTGGCCACCTAGGCCCCCTGATCTAACGGCTGGCGACTACTTCCTATGGGGATATTTGAAGTCTAGAGTGTATGTTAACAAACCACATCACAGAGTTGAAACAATGCATCACCGAAGAAATTCGAGCAATTCATGCTGCTTTATTGCGACGAGTTATGGGCAATTTCCGGTCTAGATTACAAGAATGTATTCGTTGTCATGGAGTCCACTTGACAAATGTTATTATTAAGAAATAAGCAGAAATTAATAAATTGTATTATACTGCTGTTTTTCAAGTGAAAGTGTTTTATTTTAATTCGACCCGAGTTTGACACAATAGCGCTCTGAAAACCGTCACATTCCACTGCCGCACTCTGTACATGCGAAAAAACTCATGTTAGAGAAAATTTAACTACATTCTACGCTGTATTCTGAATTATGATCAAACATGTTATGAATAATTTATAATCTTGATGTAAAAATACTTTTCTTTTGTTAAGCAAGAATTCATTAACGTCCATATCTGGATTAGTTTCATTATGTATGTTATGTTAAGACATAGAAGCATTGAATAAACATTTTCCAACGGCCTCTTTCAGTTTAGAAAAAAATTGAAGCATTACGAGTTTTCGAAATTTACATCCTTTAACATTTACTTCAATGTACCCCATAACGGTCATATAGAATTATTTCCAGGGAAATTATATTTATTCACCCAGAAGACACATCAAAGTGTTTAAAGCACTAGAAAGGCAAATGTGTAATTTTAAATATAGTTTTGTCCTAAATATGGTCAGTTTCATGCAGGAGTTAATCGTGTTTTAACAATTAACAACTGATTACTGGGGAGAAATAAATTTATATTCTTTTGCAGAAAACGCAACATAATGGTGAATATGAAAATGGTTGTCTTCATATTCGCCGTCGAAAGAACCAGAGGTACAAATTTTAATTCATGTATTTTAGGACATATTGGAAAGGAATACATGGATACAGCAGGAAGGAATTCGAGATCAATACCGTATACAACTACAGTTAATAAAGTATACTCAGTCTGATGGATATACCTAGGGCAAACATTTCCCGTGCCGGACGGAACGTGTGTGTACGTTCGTAATATACGTTCCTCCCTCCCCCCGGTAGACCGCGTTCATTGATTGTAACAAGCGGTAACTGTTTTACTAGTCAGTCACGAAGGCTGCCTACATAGGTGGAGTTAAGTTCATTACGGATATTAGATTATAAAACTGTTTGATACTGTGCTTACGTAATGCCATATTTCAACCGCAGTTCTACCTGCAATATGTTTACCCACAACACGCAGTCTGAATCAGCAAGGAAACAGATTGCGAAGTTCAATAAAACCTAAACTTTATTTAAAAGTAACGGGAGAATATTTTCTAATTATTCTTTATTAAGCTTAATCAATGGTTTAGATTTTTAAGAAAGAAAATTAGGCTGTTATTTTATATGAAGTAATGTTTGATGCAGAAAACTATCAGGATTATAATACGAAAATAAATACATATCTGTATATAATTTGATAATCAAAAGCTAAATATTTACGCTGTGGAAAGAGTTTTGTTATCATGATTCTTACATTGATATCTCGTCATCAAAGAAAATCATTACTCATTCTTGAGTTCTGGGTTTGATCCTCGATTCGTCAATTTTGTTACACTTCAATCATTTGGATTAACGACGGTTTAGTTTTATAAATCAGGTACTGCCTACTTCATTAAAATATCCTCACAAACCACATTAACAATTTATGTAGTCTTCTTTCATTGTCGCCTAATAATGACATTACGCCTCAAATTGTCAGTAATTATCGTAAGTAACCGGAAATAAATATCAAAAATAACTCGATATGCCCTTGATTCATCGACTGGAAATTTTGAAGAGACTGACTTGAAAGAAAACAATTAGGCTGGAGTTATTACTGATTCCTTAACCAATTAGCCAATTTCGAATTTTAAAGTCCAAGACGGCTGAGAGTTCTGAAAAAGGTATGACTAATGATGCACTCTAAAGCAGCCTGTTCAATCTGACACCAACAATGACAGGAAATTCTTAAACTAGCCAATTCAGATCTTTTAATATGACTGAGAATTGTATTAGACCAGTATGAATTGACAATCTGAACAGTCACACTTACGTAGGATAATAGACTAAAACTGGAAATTTCTTTCCTTAACCTCAGAATTTAAAACCAAAATGTAGAATCGCAGAAATGACTTTAAAAGGCTATAAATATTTCACAAAATTTTCAGTCATACTAATTTGCTCTCTCAACCGATACTTGGTCTCGCAGCAAACTAAAATAAATATAATACAAGGAGATATAATGTAAATGAGAAATGATTAGATTGCTTGAATTATTCTCATGATTATTTCTGTGAGAGTGTTAAGTTCATACATTACGCATTAATTAATTTAAAAATAACAAATGTCTTTTGGAAGGCACTGAATCCAACCGCCCCAACAGTCAAGCACCAGAAGAGGAAGATTGTGGAACATAACACTATTCACAAAAAGCTTGCAAAGGTGAGGTTAGGAGTGCTAGTAGCTGTGAAAGTAAGAAAAAAGGAAAGGAAGTAATATAATAGCAGAGAAGATTGCTAAAATATTTAGAGCACTTACCGGTCCTGGAATGTCGTGGATGTTAGACAGAAGCAGCGCATGGTTGTTGTCATTTCCCTGCAGCACTCCGCCCCCCTTCCTCTGCAACTGCAGTGAAATCACGTCAGTAAGAAGGCACCATTGAATCATGGGTACGGAACTAACTGAACTGACTGGCGTACCTACTCGATGAATGACCATCACACTAAATTAAATTACTCGAACAAATAGACTGCTTAATGAACACGAATGAACTAATTCACAAGCTATATGAAGAAATAATTAATTGAGACTGAATACTTAATTAATTTACTGATGTATGGACTGCCATATTAGTAACTAGTAAACTAAATACGTGGCTAATAAATTCATTAAGTGATGACTAACCGAGTCAAATAATGCTATAAATTAATGACTAAATAAGAATCTCAATAACGTAATGGCCGAATGGCGAAGTAACTGGAGGACTAACTCAGTAATTTATTTAGTTCTTAAATGTCTTACTAACGAAATTAGTCAATGAACTACTTTTCCTACACTACTTGAGGTTATGTACAACAGATTAAGTTATCTTATGTACACTAAAAATACATTGGTCCCAGAACAACTTGTCTTCAGGGACGATATGACCTTAAAATTAACAAAATGTGTTAAAATATATTAAAAAAAAATGCATGTTGGAAAATTTTCTGTGCTTCGACAACAGCTTTTCACTCTAAATCGTGAAATGTTCTTAATTTAATTACATTTCTATGGTATTCAAGCAATAGCTACAATGGTTCAGATCCTGTCTAACACAAAAAACAAAAGGTAATAGAAATAAAATTGTCTAAAATCAGAATTTTTTCTGAAAATGGGGGACAATATAACATGGAGTTCCCCAAGGGATAATTCTAAGGCCTTTGTTTTCCATAACAAACATAAATAACATTCCTCCAACAATAAATACTTAAACAGACTCATAATATTTTCTAATAATATAAATATCATATCTAGTTAAAATTCTGATGATTTCTTTACAACATCAAACATTCGTACTCATCGCCGTGAGAACCTGAAATCCTACAATACAGAATAACATTAATGTAGGATAATTGCTAATTACGTATATGACATTCAAAATGGAGACAGAAAACAATTATAATGAAATGGATAATTGATCTATGTTTATATTATGGCAAAGTTAACACAATTAATTTCAGAGTGAAAGATTCCTACATTCGTATTTGCATTGTGTTTGAAGTATCGCTCACCCTGGGCACTGCGTGACCTTGGCGTTCGTGTTCCCGCTGGTCCAACATGTCCCTGAACTCTCGACAGCGTTGTCCCTCAGCCTCACGCCGGTACACCAGCTCGTCGAACCGGGATCGATCCTCTGGCAGGACAACTTCCCGCAGTTCGGTGAGGAGGGTATACTGTGGCACGGAAAACTGCCATGTCAGTAGCGCAAGAGAATTGGGAAGACAGAGAAACAGAGAAATGGGGGTTGGGAGCAGGGAGAAAGAAGGAATTAAGAAATAAAAATGAAACAAAGGGAAGAAACAATGAAGGTGATGAAGAGAGAAAGGATTATAAAAATTGACAACAGATGACAATGAATACTTTACGACTTTTCTTAAATATTGGAATTTTTTAAATTGTGATAAAATTCGGCGCATTTAACTTTAGCTTGAAGTTGTGAGGGACAGTGAGTGTTAGATACATTGGTTTTCGAATTCTAACAGAATAGGACGATTCAGTCATAACAACGAACAAATCATAAACTACCTGGTTTTGATAAAATTCTTTAGGTCTATAATTAACCTGCACTAAAATTTATGTAACGGAATAGTATTTTACCTATTTCCAACACACGAACACGTAATTATAACCATTTTCCTCTCCGTCTCCCGAACAATTGGTCTCATTCTGATTAAATTCAGCATAATTAACGTATACTGAAAGTAATTAATGTCAACTGGCATTGCTAGTACGTGCGGATGAAGGGCACTGACAAGGCAGGCGCTCTATAGTCCTCCTTTACCTTCTCAGGTGTGTTGAGCAGTTCAAGTAACACCGCCACGAAGGCCTCGATGGTCATCTGTCTGGCCGAGTACTCCTCCTGGTAGTAGGCCAAGGTGGTGAACTCGCTCTTCTTCAAGACGACTCTTGCCTTTTCTTCGACCATCTGCAGTGCAGGCGAGCGGGGCTTCCGTGCGCCACGGCTACACAGCGCACAGTTTGTCAATTTCATCACTCTACTGGGGGCCAAACTCTTAAGATGGCTCACAGTATTACAAATTAATAATTTAAAAGATACCAGTATGAACATGAATAAGCAATGCATTCCAATTTTGCAACATTCCAATCGTTACACATACTTATATCAACTAACTGGAGCAGAGACCTTTCTGATACGTTGATGTACGCTCAGTTATCATGAAACTCCTAGCCATTTGTTAAAATATACATTAACGTGTATACAAGAGCCTAACAAAAGTCCCTATCCTGAACTAGTATCCAGTCCACATTCGCAAAACATATTTCCCTGAGACACATTTTAATATTATCCTCCCATCAACGCCTTGGTCTTCCGATAGGTCTCTTTCCTTACTTCTATAAACACGTGTGTTGTACTAACAAACGTAGTAATATGACTGCTTAATGATCAGTTGAGATATGAATTCCTATCTGTTGTAGAAAACAAAACCTATAAATACTTGGGCATTATTTACTAAATTTAGCTTAGATTAAATTATTCTGGGTAATCTTTATATTTAATTCAGCTTTAAACATTTCAATAATTTGTATTAAGTCCAAATAACCATTCAACAAACAAAGAATTCATCGCTGAAATGATTCGAAGACGCTCCTCGTCTATTGACCATATTTTTGTTATGAAGAATGCTCTCTTTTGGATTGTAGCGCCGTGAAGTCTGGTAGAAGTTTACCAACGTTTCAGGGGTCCATGCTGCCTCATCATCAGCAGCAAGGACCTTTAAACTTCGGTAAACGCTAACTACAACCCAGAAGACAGCCATCATCGTATTCATCGGCGTGAAAACTCAAATCTCATATTTTCGGCAAAGACTCTGAAATATTTGAAACTAAGTTTAAGCGATGGCGATTCTGGAATCATTCCAGGCTGTGGTGGCGCCTATGGTGGGGTCAGGAGGAGTCAATGTAGTGGGAGCCTGGAGTCAGGAAGTCGATTATGTGTTGGTGCGTTTGGTAGGGACCTAGTTTCAGTCGCCAAGAAGATTTCAAATTTAATTTACTTCATAAAAAGCTTTTATAAATTTTGTACTTCCAATGCGATCTGCGAAGATAATACTACAATAGATTGTATTACTGTTTAACAAAAAATGATTCACTCTCGTCTACCCTGAAGAGTTATTATACTAAAGAAATATATTAAAAGACTTCTAGTAAGTTATGTAGACTTCAATTCTTATCATATCTTATTTCAAAGCTACCCTAATTATGTAAATGTAAGAAAGTTTGGATTCAATTGGGTCACAGTAATCGAATATATGTATGGGTTTGAAGTTATTCAATTCGTTATTCATCTAGGAATGTTTTCGACAGAGAAAAAACCGTGCCCAGATGTTGCTGATGAAACCAGACTAAAGCCAATATATCTCATTTCAACGAAAAGGCCCTCCAGAGCTTCAAAAAGATTTATGCCAAAATATAGACCAACTTAAGCACAATAAAGATAAATATACAATGACACTTGCATAAATCTGAAACAAGACAGTAAATGTACACGTGGTGTAACAATTCTTGAACTTTTGCCACAATTTGACTTTAGCGATTGGCGTCAGGTGACAGATGGACAGCTGCAGATTCCCCAAGTAATCTCAGTAATGAAAGTAGGCATGTCAACCAGTTAGTCAGTTGGGCACGCAGCAACTCATGAATGTGTTCATTTTGGGATCCCGTTACTACTGTCCGATTGTAACCATGAATAGAATTTATGGACAAATTATAGCAAAACTGAACACCAAATCTAAAACAGTTCTTAAGTTACCGTACACGAACGTTATGGGCAATTATTCCCAGAAATGTAAGTATATCAGCATTCCCTCCCCCCACAATATTCAGGAAACACTAGAAATAATTATAAACTATAAAATTTCGGGCGATCATCCACGTTCAGAACCCCGATGATGGCGACAAAGATGGTCCCCGAAACATAGGTTTCGTCTTTTTTATTGATTTACGTCTCCGCGAAAACTTCAAATAATAAATTATAAACTAATTTACCGAAACTGTCGTTGCCATAAAAATTCTATGAAGGCAACAGGAAAGTTGTGGCTTTATGAACGTACCCACACAGGTCTGGTAAATGAATACACCCACAGAGTTCCGGTTGAACATACCCCGGGCTGTGAGACTCCCAGGGCTGCACGTCGTCGTACGCCGTGCAGGAGTGCGGCACCTTGCCCACGTCGCGAACTGTGAGAGTCATTCGTTTATGGAACTTGAGCTGATTTACCGCTTCGTCATGAGTCACATCCAGGAACGATTGTCCGTTAACCTCCAGGATCTGGTCGCCGATCTGAAAGACACAGTGCCAATGGTTACTCCAATGATTTTGAAGATGGCTGTATGCATTGTGGGATGTTGTATCGTGAAGTGTTGTCGATAATGACCGACGTTTCAGAGGAGCTTATTACCTCCATCATGAATAAAGTCATTTTCTGGGACGTTGAAATCGTGTAGCCTGATAGAGGCAATAAGTTCCTCTAAAACGTCCTTCAATATCTACCCGACTGTAAGGCGCAACATTTCAGAAGACCGCCATCTTCATACACGTCGCCTTGGAAATCTCACATCTCACCGAGTGAATTTATTTAGTTCCCACAATAACAGAAACATTTTATAACAAATACATTCAATTCTTTTGTGAATCTAAACAAATTACTTCATGTTCTACTGGAGGGGGATACGAAAATAACATACAGTCTAGCTTTGATCTCAATAATTTTAAAGATTTTTTGACATGTCGTGCCTGTTACTCAGTCTCTTTGTTTGTATGCTCAACTGATATTTTCTATTTTTACGAAACAATATATAAAATCCTGACAAACATCGTCTGAAGTTGCTACTTAAGATGGTACTGTAAAGGGCGATGTTCTTGGATCCAGGGATAATTCTTGTTATGTTAGGTACTCAACGATAACTATAGAATGGTAATGTCTATGATAATTTTTCGGGGAACAGCGAAATGTAAACATCTGCCTAAATGCCCAGGGCACTCAGGTACTTGATAAAATAAAGGAAAAACCACATGTCTGACAAGCACGGTAATAAATATTGTGTCACTGCCTTTAAAACAGTGATGTTTTGTGCCTTTAGTTACAGATTTGTATTTTTAATAATTCACCATTCGCCCAGCTCTCTTCGAACTTTCAAGTAATAATGAATTTCTGATGACAAGATAATAAGCCTGTCGATACATAGTCTGGTGATAATGCTGTATAATTTGAAGTTTTCACGGCGGTGAGTCTGAAGATGGCTGTCTTCTGGATTGTTGTGCTGTGTAGTCTGGTAGAAGTTTACCGATGTTTCAGAAGTCCTTGCTGCGTCCATCATCAGGGCGATGAGTAAACCGCGCGGCTTACTCATAGCTCTGATAATAGAGGCAGCAAGGACCTCTGTCGGTAAACTTCTAGCAACCTACGCGGAGCAACAACCCATAAGACAGTCATCTTCTGGTGATAGAGCTGCTGTTTTAAGCCACCAGCCAAAATTTTGCATTTCCCGCACTGCTGATATGGCTGGGATTAACATAGAATGCGAGGAGGCACTTTCCGAACTTACAAATACAAACCACGTAGTTTAAGAACGCGAGCACGACCTTTAAGAGATTTGTGTACGACTGAGTACGATAATAACATACAGGCGTGTGGTATATATACATACTCCCCACAAAAAGGTATTTGGAAAATATTTGTACTCAAAATAAGTTTTCTCTCTTGTTTATTTAGAATACGCCGTATCCTGCATAGATCTGTTTGTTTTAAATTAAACAGGACCTGCATAAACATCAATGTTTGCTTATAGCCTAACATGGACCACTATGTAAAATTAGTGCAAAAGTATCGAGGATAGGAAGTAGAGAGAGGTTTACAATTATTATAAATAATCATTATTTAAATGAATATGCCTCCGATTCGAGATTTTGGAGCTTAACCGGTAAAAGTTACATAGAATGTCCTGCCACATATGTAAATCAAATCTGTTAAAGAAACTACAGAAGATAAAAACAGTAATGCAGTTATTAACCAAGTATGAAGCTTTCGATACTTCGGATATAGATTAAGTACAGAATATAGATAAAAAAATATTGGAGCAATTCACTGTGGGCTCTACAGAGCAATTGTACTATTTAAAAATTCAGGAAGGAAATAAACTAATGTTTAAAAATTTTATAAATATTCTGCACTTAAATTTGTTAATAATTTGTGTACATTAATAACCTGTTTCAGCCAGATAAGTTTATTCATAAGGGACACAGTTTCAGTGGGTTAATCTCTGAAAATGATACAGCATTGTTAAATAACCCAAACATCAATGACAAAATGCTTATAAACATCGTGAAAGTTATCAAAATAACTGATTTCTGTACATTTAAGAATTCAAAGATGGTTAGGCCTACAGTCGATTAAACTTCTGACAAAGGAGATCCCGAGTAGCCAGTTGTATGGAAAAAAGTAATTCTTGAGAAATTAATATCCACTCACTCAGATGAATCCATATCACAACATCAAACCCTCTTCCTTCAAGATCCATTTTAATGTTATTTTCACATTTATGCTTAGGACATACAAGTGATTTCTTCGGGTCAGATTTTTCAAATAAACATGTATTGTATTTTATCATATGTACTCATTTTACCACCATGATAACATTCGGTAAAAATTACAAAACCCATCAATATGCGAGTTTGTCCGGGATTCTTAAACTTCCTCACTCTGAGGACCGAGTATTCTCCTCAGTACGCCCAATTCTCAAGCACTCTCAAACTACGATATAAGCTAGTTACACTTTAATTTTTAACTTCTAGGTTTCGCACGAAAAGGCAGATATTCTGAACTGAAAAAAGCAAATATTACCCTTCTAAAAAACATTTGAAAAAAATTAAGAAACCCTCATTATGAACTGCGTGTGGTTTAGTAAGATCAATCCAGACTTGCAGTAATATAATCCAATGTTCATTCCTCTTATCAGCAATGACAGTAAGAAACTCGAAATGAAAAGGTCATAGGATAACAGAAACCTGCTGATTTATGGTATAGGAACGAAGCTCGTGTTACGAATCGAATATCTGTCATCACAGTGACCATGTATCTATCTCTTACGTTTTGATTGACAAAGATTAATGGTTCGGCAGTCACTGATCAAACAGAGGAATCGGTACACGAGTTCATGCCAACTTCTGTCAGAACAACTACTAAAATATAGGCGACAGATGGGTGCCGAAAGTTTCAATGTTAACTTTAACGGATCAGAAACATATCCTCGATGTCAAACAAACACCACGTCATACTCGTTAGGTATCAGATAATAATTTCGGCCAGAAAACGGGTTGATCAGTTCGATCCCAGCCTCTCTGTCTCTCGCAATGTAAATAATTGTATATCAAAACACAATGCCATAATACAGGTCAAGGTCACTTGCTTTCACAACCTTTTCATCACATCTGTCAATAAAGTTGGCTGTAATTCTGGGTTATTGAGTCGTGAAATTTGGTGGACATTTATAGACGTTTTAGATATTCTTGCTGCTTCCATCATCAGGACGATCTACTTTAATAATAACTTCCACTCCTAAGTCTCCCAAATGGTCTCGTAACTTCTGGCTTCCCAAATCAAATTTTGTACGCGACATTTCTCATCTTACTAGTGCATATTAAATGCTCAAGTTCGCTGGTCAAATTAAACCATTTCTGTGTTAATTTTCAATTTAAAAACATTATTATTTTCTGGTCAGAGACGTCCGACAAACGGACAAACGGCTGAAAGAAACAGTTTTAATTGTAAAGAGAACAGGCCAAGTTGATTAAATAATTTGCACTCCTAAAAAAACACACAAATCGCCGACCTTAACTGTTGACAGGAGTCAAATCTTATCGGACATGAAGTGCATTTAGACCACTAGGTCCAATTTACCTAACCGTATATATCATGCATAGTACGCAAAGCATTAATAAAGTCCAGCTGCATACAGAACTAAGTATTTTTATTGTAAGTTGGAGTTATTTTCATATTCTATTTTTCATTTGTGTAGCAAACTAAATGTTCCTGGCAGAAAGGGACAGAACCTAAAATAAATGTCACTACGTTGGTGTACGGGGGGAGAGAGAGGGTAAGAGCTCTTACTTGGTGATGTACTTGTTCTGCGAACTGCTAAGCGTTTTAAAGCATTCCACAATGTTTTACTTGAAGAGAATTTATTCAGAAATTAATTTTAAAACTTCAAAGCCTCCGCTAGAATTGAGGTGCCACAGATCTGGTACCGAAAGATGATTGTGTTTAGATGGTTGATTCATTTGTCACGAAAGATCTCACTTTACTATATGAATAAACAAGATGGAAGAATAAACCATTCATCGAAATAACAAGTTAACCTAAGATACACAGATATAAAAGCTTAGATTTATAAAATAAAATAAATGAAACAAATCACCATAGTTTATTCGTTTGCCTAATGAACACAACAATATGACATTTTTAATAGTGTTTTTTTCTCAGGGAAAACATGGGCACATGTTCTATAGAAAATAAAAAACCACGGATTGGAAAATAGCGGACAAAATATTATTTATTGAGGCCGATCATTAATTAAGGGTACAACTGATAATTCAGTGATTTCTTTTCTCTCGAACAAATCCAAAACGATGTTAAAGACGATTTAGAAAGTTACAGACATTTCTTTAATTAATGTATAAAACAACAAAGCCACTCGATCGCTGAACAAACATTTGAGTAGGAATTGACGTTCGCGCCTATAAAATAGGAAAGAGCTTTGTGGTCATAGCTATTCAATCTTTGCTTTAGAATACATTACTACGACGAGATAATTAAATTAAATACGTCAGATTTTGGTCTAAGCCCATGATACAGTTGATTGAGCGAAAGTAAACATTATAAGATTCATAAGTAAAGTAAAGTTTGTCCCACTTTACGCCATGTAGGCGTTTGGGGGGAGTGGAGGTATAGCTCCTCTCTTCGAGGCTAGAGGAAAAATCCTCTGCCCCCGTCGGGGATCGAACCCCGGTCGTCCAGCCCGTAGCTAGTCACTATACTGACTGAGCTATCCCGGCTCATTTATAAGATAAGATTCATAGCAACTCATAAAGGAGGACAAACCCAGGGAAAACAAATTATGTAGGATTTGAGGTTTTCACGGCGGTGAGTCTGAAGATGGTTGTCTTCTGGGTTGTTGCGCCGTGTAGTCTGGCAGCATGGACCTCTGAAACGTCTACCAGATTATACGGCGCAACAACCTAGAAGACAGTCAGTCAGCTTCAAAACAGATTATGTTTCTCGTCAC